ATAGATTATAGAAATTACGAACGATAGATAGATGGATAGATGATAGAAATACCGAAAGATGGATGGATAGATAGATAGATAGATAGATAGAAATACCGAAGGATAGATAGGTAGACAGACAGATAGATAGATACATAGATAGAAATACCAAAGGATAGATAGATATAGATAGATAGACAGATAGAAACACCGAAGGATAGATAGATAGATATAGAAATACCGAAGGATGGATAGATAGATAGATAGATGATAGAAATATTGAAGGATAGATAGATAGATGATAGAAATACCGAAGGATGGATGGATAGATAGATAGAAATACTGAAGGATAGATAGATAGACAGACAGATAGATAGATAGATAGATGGATAGATAGAAATACCAAAGGAGAGATAGATAGATAGACAGATAGATAGATAGATAGAAATACCGAAGGATAGATAGATAGATAGATATAGATAGATAGATACTGATAGATAGAGAGATATACCGAAGGACAGATAGATAGATAGATAGATAGATAGAAATACCGAAGGATAGATATAGATAGATAGAAATACCGATAGATAGATAGAAATACAGAAGGATAGATAGATAGATAGAAATACCGAAGGATAGATAGATAGAAATACAGAAGGATGGGGGATAGATAGATAGATGATAGAAATACCGAAGGATAGATAGATAGATGATAGAAATACCGAAGGATAGATAGATAGATGATAGAAATACCGAAGGATAGATAGATAGATGATAGAAATACCGAAGGATAGATAGATAGATAGATAGATAGATAGATAGAAATACAGAAGGATAGATAGATATATAGAGAAATACCGAAGGATAGATAGAAATACTGAAGGATAGATAGATAGAAATACCGAAGGATAGATAGATAGATAGAAATACCGATAGATAGATAGAAATACCGATAGATAGAAATACCAATATATAGATATAGAAATACCGATATAGATAGATAGATAGATAGATAGAAATACCGATAGATAGAAATACCAATAGATAGATAGAAATACCGATAGATAGATAGACAGATAGATAGATATACCGAAGCACAGATAGATAGATAGACAGAAATACCGAAGGATAGATAGATAGATAGATAGATAGAAATACTGATAGATAGATAGATAGATAGATAGATAGAAATACCGAAGGATGGATAGATAGATATAGATAGATAGATACAGATAGATAGACAGATATACCGAAGGACAGATATAGATAGATAGATAGAAATACCGAAGGATAGATAGATAGATAGATAGATATAGATAGATAGATAGATAGGAATCCCATTCTTCTCGTCCTGCATGCGAGCGATGATGTCTTCCATCTGCAGAGAGAGAGAGGGAGAGAGAGAGAGAGAGAGAGGGAGGGAGGGAGCGAGAGAGAGACAGGGAGGGAGAAAATATGTTAATGCTTTGGCAACATTGTGTTACACAGTCATGCTAATAAAGCTTAATTGAATTGAATTGAATTGAGAGACTGAGAGAGAGAGAGAGAGAGAGATCAGCTTCACAGCCTGACACCTGGAACAATCACAGTAATTACATGCTTCATAATTAGCCTCCTATTCTGAGTAATTATGCTTAATTTCTGTGTGATTAAACACACGGTTGTACTCACATTTACTTTTCACTCTTGACAGCACAAACTCCCTCTAAACCCGCTTAACAGCAGCGCAAACAAACCCCAGACGATCATATGAGAGCAAAGACTGAGTAATGGATCCATGAATATCCATAAAAACAGAGACATAAACCTGTCTAGAACAAAATCAAAAGATACAGAAAAATAAATGTGACTTTATTACATTTCTTGCATTGCAACATTATTTTCATGACAATATTAAATCCACTTTGACACAAATAACTAATCTGAAAAATCAAAAAATGAAAATTATTGTAAAGTAAATTAAGTATTTATATACTGTACTGCATTACAGATAAGAATTACAGCATTATCATAATGAAAATCCAAAGCACAATCATCACTGAGAATAATGGCAATTACAAACAAAGTCAAAAATAATCAGCCAAACTAAATATTTTTTACTGGCAATGAAAATTAATGTACGTTGTTTCATAAAAAAGGGGGGGGGGGACACATCTAACTGCAATTATTATTATTATTGTTTTTATTCATTATTGTCATTACTATTATAAAAATTAAAGTACTTCATAAGAATTTTATATATATAAAAAAATATATATTTTTGTATATAATAATAATAATTACTATTATTATTATTGTTATTTTTATATATAACAACAGTACAATTACAATACTAATATTTGTGTTTTGTTTTTTTGCTTTGCTTTCAAATGTTAAACCATAGAGCGAAAATTAATGTACGTTGTTTCATAAAAAAGGGGGGGGGGACACATCTAACTGCAATTATTATTATTATTGTTTTTATTCATTATTGTCATTACTATTATAAAAATTAAAGTACTTCATAAGAATTTTATATATATAAAAAAATATATATTTTTGTATATAATAATAATAATTACTATTATTATTATTGTTATTTTTATATATAACAACAGTACAATTACAATACTAATATTTGTGTTTTGTTTTTTTGCTTTGCTTTCAAATGTTAAACCATAGAGCTTTTATTTTGGCATAAAACGGCAGGGAAATTTCTCTTTTAAAATGCTTCTCTTTTGTTGAGATTTATGAACCATTCTCATTATGTGAGAGGCGACCCAGATGTATTTTCATCAGTTCAGTGTAAATTCACAGGTTCATCTGTTTTCAGCAGCTTTCTGATGCAGTTTAGCATCATGTCAGATGACAGGGCTTTCTAGGGATTTGTTTCCGCTTGTATAATCTCTGACACTCGGGATTAAATCCTTCTTAATCTTCCCAAACAGAATGACATTTGGGATGCTGAGAGACTCCAGCGGGGGGCGGAGCTAAATCAGGAGCAGGTGTGAGGCTCTGATTGGCTGGCACTCCGCCGGCTCGAGCCGTTTGATTGGTTTGGCCGACCGACACTCTCACACAAACTCACAAACAAACTCAAGCCAAGAATCGTCAGATTTCAGCAGTAAAATTATTTTACATAGTAAATACTGTCTCTATGTCTAAAATGTTTTGTTAGACACCATCATATTTTCTTAAAAACTGACAAAAATCATTTTTATCAGATATAAATATAAATAAGTGCATACTGATTACAATGTACATAATGTTTAAAAATACACAAATAGCTGGGTCATAGTATAATAAATAAATACAGTTTGTAATTTACAGTAGTTCTATATATGTTTGTTTAATGTCTAAAAAACATAAATGTCTGGAGAATATTATAATACATTAAAATAAAAATTATATAATTATATTTTTATTATTATTTAATTAATAAATTATTTAATTCATTTTTAATTTAGTTTATATGTATATATGAAAAAAATAATATTATGAAATTAATTAATTCAGCTGGCCTCGACCCTGAGACCAAGTCCAGACTCCTCTCAGCGAAACCTCCAGCTTTAGACACAGAAACCACAGTCCTGAGACAGACTCACGCAGCGGATTCAAATCACAGAGTTTACAGCTAATGTCAGTCTAGTGACTCAATAAAGGCTTAAAAAACTCACAATGCTGATAAAAGCTGAGAGTGTTTTATTCTGGGATATTAGGACGATTAGTCAGTCTGATGATGGACAGAGAGGATCTGTGCTGGAATAATCCAGCGGCTGAGGCGCATTGCCAACACCTTTGGATTTTTTAATAGCACAAAATGTGTGTAAAATGTCTAAATAAATAAATACATAAATCAATGGGTTCAATTCCCAGGGAATGCATAAACTGATATTAAAAACACTGCTCCGGGTGTGTGTTCACTACTGTGTGTGTGCACTTGGATGGGTTAAATAATAATAATAATAATAATAATAATTAATAATAATGTGTTAATTTTATTTATTGTATTTTTTTTTATGTATTAATTATTTTATTTCATTTTATTTAATATTATTATTTATTTTATTTTTTTCATGCATTCCCTGGGAACTGAATCCACCGATTTCATTAGTTTCATTATATAGATATACATATATATTTAATGTATTAATTTATTTTATATTAATTTATTTTTATTGTAATTTTAATATCAGTTCATACATTCTCTGGAAATTAATAAAATAAAATAATTATTTAATTTAAATAAATAATTCAATACCTTGAAATGCAGTGTCACTTTGTGTAAAAGTGTCTGCTTAATGCCTACATGTAAATTTAAATAATGGAATTACTTAAAAAAAAATAAAAAATAAATAAATGTATATGTGAAATGCATCATTTTATTAAATGAGAAAAAAAAAACAAAGGACTTTATCCATCATATATTGATTGGAGTGAAAATTCTGATGAAAGATTATGAAGAGAAACATGTTTTTCTTTAAAATAACATCACTTATGTTATTTTATAACATACTATATTTTAGTCATTCACAATAATAGGAGGAACATGAATTCAGGTTGACTGTACAGTCACTCCCACAATGGCATTTACTAAATTTACAGTAAATGTCACAGATGTGTGTGATCTTCCTCTGTGTCGCCCTCAAACCCTTGTGTTTTAAAAGTGCCTCGACCAATCAGAGCGCAGATGGCGAGACCCTCGTTAAACCCACAGATGGACCTGAGAGTGACGCACAATTACAGCTATAGCAACAGTGTCAATATGCTGAGACACACACACACAGACACACAGACACACAGACAGACACACACACACACACACACACACACACACACGCACTCACATATGCACACACACAATGGCGGACTGATGACAGCTAGCTCAGGGCGGAGCTAAGGTAAGACACCAGTCCAGTCTGTGCTGAAACGCTACTGTCAATCAAACTATCGTGGGAGGGGCCTGTCTGTGTGATGTCACACAGACAGGCATCTGAGATCGGCTCGATTTGAGAAAGGGGAAAACATTTAACCAGATTAAAAAAAAAAAAACACTGGGTGGATTTTTATCATTATAGGGTTGTTGTGTACACACACTGCCAACACACATTTCAGTTCAAACAACTTGTAAAAGTGCATGTAGCATCCTATGACCCTTTTAAGAAAGCAGAATAAACAGCCTTATCAGCTTTTACAAGAGAGAAAACACTTTCTATAATGTTTGTTACATCCAATTAAATTTTGTGCAATTTTATCTCTTGCTTTTTATTAATGTCTAATACTAATAAAGTATTCATCTCAGAGTTCAGCTGCTAAATCACTTCTGCTGCTGTTTATGCATTTGCAAAATTGCCAATTTTCAACAAAAACAGCAGAAAATAAAGCATCACAAGGAGGAGAGTGTGGAGCGGTTTGTGAAACTCTGGTCGGCAGGTGTGAGGAGAGACTCCTGAATGATTCATCAGATCACAGAATCACATTTAGATCGGCACACGTGTGATTCTCCGTGTTGTGTAACACTGCAGACTTTGATTCGTGTGGAGGAACATACCTCTGGAAACCAGGACAGTTATTTCAAAAATAAAATACGCATTTGATGCATCAGAACTGAATCATCAGAACAGAGGAACACCTTTAGTGCAGTGTGTGAGTGTGTGTGTGTGTGTGTGTGTGTGTGTGTGTGAGTTTGTGATTGAGTGTGAGTGAGTGTGTGTACTATATTCAAAGTCTTCTACTTTGTGTAATTTAATCATTTTTATACCATTCACCTATATATACCATTTTATACCATTTGAATATATATTTATTCAGTATATCACACAATATTGTTATTTGGGATGCAAATGGAACAAAAATGGCTTTTTGTCGTTTAGATTAATTATCCATTTAGACAATTAAATACATAATCGGCCTCAAATGCAAAACTATAAAGGGCAAAAACTACATGGAAAAATGGGGAAATTTCATTTGTAAAGTATTTAATTGATTTGATTACATCTTAGATTAGTCTGACAGAACAGCAGACGCGTCTGAGATCCTAAACTCAGCAGGAATCCGGCGTCCACGATCTCCTGATCTCTTCTGCTCGCTCTTCGCTTCACTGACAAACACCACTGAACACTGAGAATCTAGACATCACCGTTTCTTGCTGACATTTTGCATTTCTCTCTGCTTTCTGGACTGGAGTCGTCAGCCGAGCTCATGCTGTTCTCTCTCAGGTCCTCTGCAGAGTAGTTCAGTATGCAGCAGAATGTATATTACATATATATGTATATATTATTACACACACATACACACTATATCGGTGTTATTTTAGTATCAAGATTCTTTTTTTACATTTTGAATTAATTTTCATTTTTTAATTTTCCATTTTACAAGACAACAAGACAACAAATCTCA